TTTCTTTCTTTCTTTCTTTCTTTCTACTCTTTGTGTGTGTGTGCGTGTGTGCGTGTTGAAAGGGTAGTAAAAGGACATTGTCAGGCGTACAAAAACTAGGGAGGTGCAATCACTGGACCATGAAAAGCCAGATGATATGAAATAGCGACGTGGAAATGACGTCACTGCAAAACGGAGGTCTCATAAGAATTGGCATAAAGCGAAAATTGACCAGTGAAAAATAAAAACATGCCCGTCATTGGAATAAAGATATGAAACTCATTAATTGTTGCTATGCCATTATTGTTATCAAGCGCTTGTTAGCAACGTTATCATTTGGTAGCTTGCAAATCCATGATTCCAAGATAATATTTAAAAAGACACCTCAGTTTTGCAAATTATCTCTATTCTGATTCGGTAATATTTTCTTTATCTCAGATCAGCTGGAGTGACCTGAAATGGACTAACATGAAACTGGAGTCAGAAGTACCAACTATAATCTCCAGGTCATCTTACGGATTTCCTTCCTTCCTTTTGTGATTTCGTCAGGGGAACATATCATAAAGAAATTAAGAGAGAAGGCTGTGCAATGGAATTTGAGAAAGATAAGAAGACAAACCGCAGTAAGTCTACTGCTAGGCGATCAAGCAACTCAAGGAGAGCTCGCGAACTTGAGTGGCAAAGGAGATTAGATTCGTTGGTTGAAGAACAGCGAAAGCTTCAACATGAAAACAACGTGCTAAAAGAAGAGCATATGAGACTTTTGAAGATCGTAGAAGAACTGAAATCTCAAATCTAATTTTTTTATCACAATGAGTGTAGGTAGCATTTAATAAAGTTTCTTATTTGTTAGTAAGAAGTAAGAATTCCCGTAGATTTTTTCAGATGCAAGAATATATTTACAATACTAGGTGGAATTAAAATATAAAATAAAATAAATCAATTAACAGGGAAAAAAGAAATCAAGAATCAAGTAATCATGAGAGTTTTTCTAATGATGTGTGCAGTTCCAAGGAGAGCAATCTTCTGTACTTCTGTGATAGAGATGTCCCCTTTTAAATGGTTGACATATTGTTCTAGTCCTTTGTGAATTAACCCCAGGGCCGGGTTGTTCAAAGCTGGATAAGCGCTAATCCAGGATTAAGTCTGTAGGTCTTATTAAGAGTTAACCCAGGATTAGCACTAATCGGGCTTTGAACAACTGGGCCCAGTGCTCCAATGACAATAGGTATGGTTTTTGTTTCCATACCCCACATTTTTTTAATTTCTATTTCTAGATCTTTGTACTTTGAGAGTTTTTCTACTTGTTTTAGGGGCACATTATTATTATCATCATCATCATCATCATCATCATCATCATCACCACCATCATCATTATCATCATCATTATCATCATCATTATCATCATCATCATTATCATCATCATCATCATTATTATTATTGTTATTATCATTATTATGGCAAGTTTTATTTGTCTGTATATATCATGTTTACATTGACCAGCAGACTAAGTCTAGGCTGGTTAAGTTCATCATTTTTTACAATCCTTTCTTCAGCTTATGCATATTCATAGAACGTTTTGACTATATTAACGTTCTGGCTTAAAATCCATTTCTGACATCGTTCTATAAGAAAGTTCACTTCCCTGTCTGTATTTGTAATTGTTCTTAGGTCTTTTCTTAGCTGTTCGTGATTTCCTGCGAGAAAGTCAAGCACTATGTTAATCTGATTTACACTTGAGCTTTTGCACTCTTTTTTGATGCCTGCACGTAGTTCCGTGTATTTTTCTTGTTTTTCAACAGTTCTCTCCGCAATCTTAACAACTTGACAAACTGTGCCTTCAAATAGTGTCCAAGCATTAGTTTCTTTATCTTGTACAACTATGTCGGGTTTATTGGCACTGTTTTCTGGAGCTTTCTCAAGTTGAAAGGGTACATTCCAGTATATTTTTGCCTTTTCATTTTGAAGTACTGCTGATGGTAGACTTTGTTGGTACCATGGCTTTCCATTGTCGTTTTCCTGAAAGTTGTACTTTTCCAGCAAACAGTGGTATATCGGTCTCAGCATTCTGTCGTGTCTGGCTGTGTAAAGACTTTGGGCGATCTTTGAGCAGCCACTCAGTACATGTATTGTTGATTCTGTAGCCATATGGCACATTCTGCATTTGGTGTCTGTGATGGTCATCTGTGCTTTGCTTTG